CGGGCACTCCCGAACATTTTTTTGCGATGTAGTATGACATCCCGTAGCCAGATGATTCGTATACGTTAGCGTGCAGAAAACCGTTGTGCGCGCAACATGCGGTTCTCGAGATATGGCTATAAGAGAAAGCCAAAGAGTTTAAATGCCTTCCGGTGTACCAACGTTCTCGTCAGTAACCTACCTTTTCCAGCTTTCTCTCCCATGACAATTACCAATATTCGTTCGTTGCACATTTGCAAGAAGTTCGGTTTTACACCGAGCCACGGTTCTAGCATTTTTTTTCAGATTTCAAAATGAATTTTAAAATTTTGAAATTAATTTTACAATTTAAAAAAAATGGTACACCTTTAGTTCGGTGTAAAACGATCTTCACACTTGCAAGCTTTTATGTGCGAAATCTAAAGAAGATCGGCCAATAATGAGACTTTTGGTTCACCTGAATGCATTTAAATGTTTTGGCATTTTCTTACAGACAAAACTCCCGAACCGGGTGTTGGGCACACAAACTATTTTCCGGCGCTCAAACTATTTTCCGCACAAACTACCGGATGTCACGCTTACGTATACGCATCATCTGACTACAGAATGTCATAAAACAAAGCAAAGAAGTGTTGGGGAGTGCGCGGAAGTGAAGTTTCATGCATGCACACGCATTGGGTGCCATGTACCGGGCCACTACCCTTAAGACCGTTAAGCATGAGCTCATATATTGCCATAGTGTACGGAGTGTCTGCATGCTAGAGTATGTTGCGCGACTTAACAAAATTGACCCTTAAGAATAGCAGCACAACGCGCTTTTCCTGCTGATTAATAAACTTTCTGGCCCATGAATTGTGAATCCGGTCCAAGTTAATTGTTAACGCGTCATTTTTACGTTAGCAGCAAAACGGCGAAACGCTTCCGGTCCTGTGCGAATCCATTCTGCAATTTCCTACACATTCAGTCCTTCGCGGGACAGATTGGCATCGTAGAGATCCCAGAATTGTGCTTCAATATCCGCTGCATCCAGCCTGATAATCGCCTGCGGAATATCTGCCTTCATCTCTCCACTGCAGGTAAATTCACACTGTCGCAGCCGGATTTCAGCACAACACGGCGCTAAGCTTTCCAACGCCGCCACCTGACGTCCAATAAGCACGGAGCCGACTCCCCAGGCTCCACCATAATCCTCTCTTCCCCCATCATTTCGTATGACCAAAGCATGCCAGCTGACTTCTACGTGATTAAAGACCAGCTGTTTAATGCGGACACCGACATGCCGCAACATCCAATAAATCACCATCACTGCGTAATCCACGTTCACGGCCGTCATATGCTCGACAATCAGCCGTTGCGTTGATTTGGTAATGCAGTGGAGCATCCCACCGACAGCCCCGTACACACGGTTTAATTTCTTGGAATCCATGGGGAAGAAGGGGTTCAACGCGAAGGACACGCGGACGGTTTCACCGTTACCGGCGCTAGTCAAGACGGAATTCCCCAGCGGATACACACGGCGTAGTTTCAGCCGGCTGACGCTATCCATTTAGGACTGTCAAATATCAGCAGCCCGCTTGTATCTGCGGCACGACTGCTGCGCACGTATCGGTTATTCATTTTTCCGCTATGACTAAGAGAAAAAAATTGAAACATGTTCCCACCACTGAGTAACCGATACGTGCGCAGCAGTCGTGCCGCAGATACAAGCGGGCTGCTGATATTTAACAGTCCTAATTGAGTCAAAGATCTCGCGTAGGAGATGTGTCTGCAGGACATATTTTTACTTTTATTTACTTTGACTGTAGTGGACAGCGTCTAAAAGACAACATCAACAATTCAAATGAAAACGTGATCCAAATTCGAGCGTGAGGGGACGATGGCCAAATCCAACTGAGCATTTCCACGCCAAATCTCTAAACTTAAACGCTGAAACAAAAAAAAAGAGGTAGATCGGAACTTGCCCGTTCGAACAAACTAGTACTTAGGTTAGCAATGACTTGCCAAACTACATATTCCTGATTTGACAGTAAAACGATATTTTACGTGCATAGTGTTTGTTACTCCCTATCACTGCAAATTTCATTAATTATATTTTTGAATAACTGACCTGTCAATACAATCATTCTAGGACATCTTGCCACTTCTTAACTAAATAGTAAATACGCACCTGCAGATCATCAACTTACAAAATAATGTAGCAGCATTAGTGTAAGTGCTAAACAGCAATATATTCGAAACTTCCGGATGTTTAGAGACAGATTTCAAAATCTACTTCTGCGTAAAAGAACAGGCTCAATATCGTTTCAAAAGAATATTTACGTCAAAGAAATCTAGGGGCTCAAACCTTAAAGAGAGCTAAGCGAAGTTTGTACGCTGAATGAAAATTCGAACGGTGCTAGACGAATTAACAGACAGGTGACACATTGACTATGTGAATAAATAATCTTGTTTTTTTTTTAAATGACTTGCTCATCATATTTGATGAGTTTTTATTTAATCCGTCAGTTGTTTCTTCCCTGATATTCCAAAAATACTGAATGGTAACAGCAATACCTTCGAAACATCCGGATGTTTAGTGACAGATTTCAGAATCTTCTTTTGTTCAAAAGAGCAAGCTGATTTTGTTTCCAAACAAGAAACACGTCAAACGAATCTAGATACGCAATTTTGGAAGAAAGCTGAGCGAAGTTTATAGGTTGGATGACAATTTGAAAAGCGATTGACAAATTAACAGACGGGTGACAAATTGATAAGGTATATAAATAAGTTTGTTTTTTTTGCAAATGACTAGCTCATCATACTTAGTAAGTTTTTACTTATTTGGTCAGCAGCTTCCTCCTTGATATTCCAAAAAAACTAAATGGTAACAGCAATATCTTTGAAACATCAGGATGTTTAGAAGCAGATTTCAAAATCTTCATTCGCGAAAAAAAATAAGCAGATTGTCGCTTCAAAACAAGAAACACGTCAAACGAATCTCTAGACGTACTCTTTGAAGACAGGTGAGCGAAGTTTATAGGTTGAATGCCAATTTAAAAAGAGTTTGACAAATTGACAGACGGGTGACAAACTGACAAGGTGAACAAATAAAATGTTTTTTGTTGCAAATGACTAGCCCGTCATTGTTAGGTAGTTTTTAGTTAATCCGTCAGTAGTTTTCCCCCTAATATTCCAAAAAGCGGAATGATAACAGCAATATCTTCGAAACATCCGGATGTTTACAGACAGATTTCAAAATCCTCTTCTGCTTAAAAGAGCAAACCGATTTTCGTTTCAAAACAAGAAATACGTCAAGCAAATCTGGTGACGTACTCTTTTTGAAGAAAGCGAAGCGAAGTTTATAGGTTGGATGCCAATTTGAGAAGAGTTTGACAAATTGACAGACGGGTGACAAATTGACAAGGTGAACAAATAAATTCGTTTTTTGTTGCACATAAAAAGCTCGTCATTATTAGGAAGTTTTTACTTAATACGTCATTAGTTTCCTCCCTGATGTTCCAAAAAACGGAATGTTAACAGCAATATCTTCGAAACATCCGGATGTTTAGTGACAGATTTCAGAATCTTCTTTTGTTCAAAAGAGCAAGCTGATTTTGTTTCCAAACAAGAAACACGTCAAACGAATCTCTAGACGTAATTTTTGAAAAAAGCTGAGCGAATTTTATAGGTTGGATGCCAATTTGAAAAGACGAATTGACAGACGAGTGGCAAATCGACAAGGTAAAAAAATAAAATTGTTATTTGTTTCAAATGACTCGCTCGTTATTGTTAGGAGGTTTTTCGACCGGAGCGCAGCGAAGGTCCTCTAATTCAGCCAAAATTAAAAAGTGTCTGTCTGTCTGTCGGTTACGGAAGTAACAAATTACGTCATACAAGGAAGTAATGTCGTCATATAAGGAAGTAAGGGGGTGGCATAAGGAAGTAATGTCGTCATATAAGGAAGTAAGGGGGTGGCATAAGGAAGTAATGTCGTCATACAAGGAAGTAAGGAAGCCCTTCTTAAGTTTAGCTCGATACTGTGCCCGTATACACTGGCAGTCACCTGTAGACAGCCGGTAGACACCACTGTAGACATACTGTAGTCACCCGGTTTCTTAGGTTTAAGAAGTAAGGGGGTGGTATAAGGAAGCACAATAAACATTCAGTATAATGGTACTGTTAAGTAATGTAATGATAGGGATACAGATAGGGATAGGGATATTAAGTAATGATAGGGAAGTATTGTCATCAAGTATTATTACCTAGGATACCACCACTGTTACAAGCAAATCAGTAAAACAGGAAACCACAACAATGTATATTACGTTCCACGGTACAGTATTACTCAAGCCAATTAACGTGCGCTGAAGAGTCAGCAATGTTGTTGTCATTTTTCATAAAATGAAACGCAAAGTTCCACATTCCAAACGGCATCAGAAACGAAAGAAAGCCGATGACCAAATTGGAGGTATGGAATGTTAGAGTGTGCTGATTATTCCTTTTAACCTTCTTCACACATATAGCTAGCTGTACGTGCGTGGTTACATGACACCGGAGTTCCTGTTCTGCAACAAGTGAAACAGTCCGACCAAATTCGTGAATCCGTGGGAATTGAGCCGCCTACAGTTCCATATCCCGAAATGTCCACCCAACCTGTAGATGAATTTACTACAGCAGGTTATATTGCTTGCGCATTTCCGTCCCTTTTTCCGTCGGGCAAAGCTGATCTTCGCGATTTACGAGAACGAAACCAGAAAGTTACGGAATCTGAATATTTCAGACACTTGATGAGGTATAAGGACAAGAGGTTTGCATCACATCCTACTTTTCGTTTCTTTGCGCTCAACAGTCTAATGCGATGGCAAGCTATGAGTATTGGCCAGTTATTTGTAAGGAAGAACATCTTTGGATCAGTTACTGTAGCTGAATTGCGGCATAGACTGGAAGCATCGCCGGGCCTGATTAAACAGATAACCAGCTTTGGGTCAAACCTCCGCGGTACACGCTCTTATTGGATGAAAAGAAGTGGCGAATTAGTGGACATGGTTCATGACATCGGTATGCCTACACTATTTTTCACATTATCAGCTGCAGATTTATACTGGCCAGAATTGCTGGAAATTATGGCACCGAATAAAGATCTCTTAAACGACAACTCTCCTCAGTCATACACGGAAAGGAACAAACTGCTGCAAAACAACCCGGCTTTAGCAGACTGGTTCTTTGTTGAACGGGCTAAAATCTTTATTCACGATGTCCTCAAACCGCATTTACACATCGTGGACTACTGGTATCGGTTTGAGTTTCAGCATCGAGGGAGCGTCCATCTACATGGATTACTGTGGTTGGAGAATGCACCGGATACGGCACGGCTAAGCGAGATGGCTCCAGAAGAAAGACAGGTTGTTGTTGACTACTTCGACAAATTGGTTAGCTCAATGAATCCAGGAATTAATAGTCCTCCTTCAAATATTCACCCATCATCCCAGAAGTTGTCTAAAGTAACTGACAGTAAAGCAGACTACATTAAGCTCGTCAACCGGTTAGAGCGACACACGATTTGTAAACTGGGCGCCTGTCTTCGAATGAAAAATGGGCAGCTGCTTTGCCGCTATGAGTTTCCGAAAGATATTAAGGAGATTTCCGAATTGCTAGAGGTCGCCAGCAAATGGAAACTGGAGCAAAAGCGTAACGATCCCAGAGTTAACCGGCACAACGAATTCAGTTTACGTATCTGGCGGGCAAACATTGATTTTTCACCGATTGTTGACCGATATGCTGTTTTGAACTATGTTTCAAAATATGCGTCAAAATCTGAGCCCCGATCAGCGACATATGCCGAAATTTTGCAAAATATTCTTCGCACGGACGTGACCGATGCGGATCCTGGAAGGAAAGCCGTACAGAAACTTCTTATAAAATCTATTTCCGAACGAGACTACTCAGCGCAGGAATGCTGTCATTTATTACTTGGACATGACCTTTACAGCAGTTCTCGTTCGTTTGTTACAATCGTTTTGAAGTCTGACGAATGGATACCAGTAGCAGACTTGGCAAGTGATGAGGGCGAAGCTGGTAAGGAGAGTAAAACGATTCTTCAGAAGTATGCTGCCCGTCATCCTGCTCTCGAAAATGTTTCTCTCTTGGAAATTGCACAGCAATACCGGTGGATAAAAAATGAATGGAAAAAACGAGTCCGAGGAAAAGAAGCAGTCGTCCGGTTATTTCCAAAATTACAGTTAACCGAAGAATCGTCCATCAGGGAAGAATATTACCGCCAGCAGGTACTGCTTTAAATTCCGTGGCGGGATGTTTCCAGTGTTGCAAATGGGCAAATGTGGGAAGAAATATACGAAGACCACCAATTAATTTCTGAAATTAACACTCCCGAAGCCACGAACGACCACAATACCGACAGCAGTGAAGACGAAGCCGCTACACAAGAACAGGACTTCGAGCAGGACGAGTATATGGTTGTACAAGGACTAGGTCCGAGATCTACTGTACCAACTATTGAACTGGGCTTGCGACAAATCGACCGTGAAACAGACTGGTCAGCGGCCGCGAATCAGTATGAAAATATTGGTGAAATTTGCTCTTTCCTTGAAACGGCTAGACAGAACTCCGACACTGTAGAAGATGCACCGGCAATGCCAAATTTCCAATTGTCCGACGAGCAAAAAAATGCACTCACATTTTTCGAACGACAAGTAACTGAAAAAGTCATCGATAAATGCTGTATCGTGCAAGGAAAGGCAGGAAGCGGAAAGTCCGTTCTCCTATCAGCTATGCAAAGCCTTTTGAGTATAACACCAGAATACGGAAGTACTTCTTATCTTCTACTTGGACCACCTGGCGTTGCCGCTGATAATATCAACGGCACAACAATCCACTCTAAACTTCGAGTTCCCGTTAATCGCGCTTTTCGAGAACTCGAAGGCGAAGAACTCCACCGGTTTCAAGAAGAGATGCTCAGCGTCAGAGTAATCATGATCGATGAGTTCAGTTTGATCGGGTGCAGTTTACTGGGAAAAATCGATAAACGACTGCGGCAAGCCAAACCCAATCAAGGTGATCAGCCGTTTGGAGGCTTGATAGTTTACCTTTTTGGTGACATCAAACAGTTGCCGCCAGTGTTGGATCGGCCGCTTTATGGCGATGGATACAAAAACGACTCGCTAACCACGGGCAACTGATCTACCGAATAGCATTCACCAAGGCCTTTATATTCACCACGTCCCAGCGGCAGAGCGGAGCAGAACCGGAACAACAACATTTTCGCGATGCATTAGACCGACTGAGCGTTGGGCAGTCCACAATGCTGGATTACGACAAAATGATGTCCCGCAATTATGGCCTGCTACCCGAAGAAGAGCGCGAATCTTTTAAAAGTGCCATCCGCCTGTTTACTGAGCGTGAGCCAGCGCGCCAGTATAACATTAAAGCCCTCACTGACCTTCGAATGCCGGTGGCGAAAATAAAAGCAAAGCACAACAACAAGGCGGCCGGCAGAGGTTAGTAATCACTGCAAGGCCAGTATCACATTGTTCTATTATTTTTAACGTTTACTATTGTATAGGGAATGACCAGCAAGCTATGGGGCTGGATTCGGTTCTTTATTTGTCAAGGGGATCTCGTGTGATGCTCAAGCGCAACCTGTGGACGCATAAAGGACTTGTGAATGGCGCTTTGGGCTTCGTTCGGGACATTATATATGCGCCGGGCACGTCTCCAGAAAATGCAATGCCGCTTGCTGTTCTTGTGGAGTTTGACAAATATAAAGGCCCAACATTTGCCAACAACTGTGTGCCGATATGCCCTATTACATCCGAATGGATTGACGGTGGCCAGAAGTGCGTCCGTACTCAGTTTCCCCTAGCGCTGTCGTGGGCAATTACTGTCCACAAGGCCCAAGGTATTACATGCGATCGGGCCGTTGTTCACCTAGGTCTGAAGGAATTTGCGTCGGGTTTAATTTATGTGGCTGTATCACGTGTTAAATCCTGGAAGGGGCTAGCTTTGGAACCGACATTTCCGTTTTTCCTCCTCTCCAGTATAAAGACGAAGAAGACCACCATTCAAAGAATCAAAGAAGAAGACCGTTTAAACCGCTTAAAATAAATTTCTATGTGTCTAAATTTAAAGCACACCAAAACACAAAGAAGTTGATCCTCTTATAGAATTGCAAAGCAAATTCTTTTTTGGGTCAACGAGTTAAAAAATCAGTAAAAAATTATCTCATACATTATAAGCTGCGCTCCGGTCTGCCAATGCAAACAAAAGTGCATTTTCCTGGTAGTAAATCCGTCAGTAGTTTCCTTTCTGATATTTCAAAAAAAAAACCGAATGGTAACTGCAATATCTTCGAAACATCCGGTTGTTTACAGACAGATTTCAAAATCCTCTTCTGCTTGAAAGATCAAACCGATTTTCGTTTCTAAACAAGAAATGCGTCAAGCGAATCTGGTGACGTACTCTTTGAAGAAAGCTGAGCGAAGTTTATAGGTTACTTGCCAATTTGAAAAGAGTTTGACAAATTGACAGACGGGTGACAAATTGACAAGGTGAACAAGTAAATTCGTTTTTTGTTGCAAATAACTAGCTCGTCATTGCCAGGAAGTTTTTAGTAAATCCGTCAGTAGTTTCCTTTCTGATATTTCAAAAAAAACCGAATGGTAACTGCAATATCTTCGAAACATCCAGATGTTTACAGACAGATTACAAAGCCATCTTTTGCTAAAAAGAGCAGGCTGGTTTTCACTTCAAAACAGGAAATACGTCAAACGAATCTCTAGACGTACTCTTTGAAGAAAGGTGAGCGAAGTTTATAGGTTGAATGCCAATTTGAAAAGAGTTTGACAAATTGACAGACGGGTGACAAACTGACAAGGTGAACAAATAAAATGTTTTTTGTTGCAAATAACTAGCTCGTCATTGCCAGGAAGTTTTTAGTTAATCCGTCAGTGGTTTCCTCCCTGATATTCCAAAAAAACCGAATGGCAACAGCAATATTTTCGAAACATCCGGATGTTTACAGACAGACTTCAAAATCATCTTCTGCTTGAAAGATCAAACCGATTTTCGTTTCTAAACAAGAAATACGTCAAACGAATCTGGTGACGTACTCTTTGAAACAAGCTGAGCGAAGTTTATAGGTTACTTGCCAATTTAAAAAGAGTTTGACAAATTGACAGACGGGTGACAAATTGACAAGGTGAACAAGTAAATTCGTTTTTTGTTGCAAATAACTAGCTCGTCATTGCCAGGAAGTTTTTAGTAAATCCGTCAGTAGTTTCCTTTCTGATATTTCAAAAAAAACCGAATGGTAACTGCAATATCTTCGAAACATCCGGTTGTTTACAGACAGATTTCAAAATCCTCATCTGCTTGAAAGATCAAACCGATTTTCGTTTCTAAACAAGAAATGCGTCAAGCGAATCTGGTGACGTACTCTCTGAAGAAAGCTGAGCGAAGTTTATAGGTTAAATGCCAACTTGAAATCGTTTGACAAATTGACAGACAAATTGACAAGGTGAACAACTAAATTTGTTTTTTGTTGCAAATAACCAGCTCGTCATTTTCATGAAGTTTTCAGTTAATCCGTCAGTAGTTTCCTCCCTGATATTCCAAAAAAACCGAATGGCAACAGCAATATTTTCGAAACATCCGGATGTTTACAGACAGATTTCAAAATCATCTTTTGCTAAAAAGAGCAGGCTTGTTTTCACTTCAAAACAGGAAATACGTCAAACGAATCTGGTGACGTACTCTTTGAAGAAAGCTGAGCGAAGTTTATAGGTTGGATGCCAATTTGAAAAGAGTTTTATACGGATGTTTCAAAGATATTGCTGTTACCATTCGGGTTTTTTGGAATATCAGGGAGGAAACTACTGACGGATTGACTAAAAACTTCCTAACAATGACGAACTAGTCATATGCAAATAGTCATATACAAATAACAAATTTATTTGTTCACCTTGTCGATTTTTCACCCGTCAGTCAAATTGTCAAACTCTTTTCAAATTGGCATCCAACCTAGAAACTTCGCTCAGCTTTCTTCAAAAATCACTTCTCTAGATTCCTTTGACGTGTTTCCTGTTTTGAAGCGAAAATCAGTTTGTTCTTTTTAGCAAAAGATGATTTTGAAATCTCTCCATAAACATCCGGATGTTTCGAAAATATTGCTGTTGCCATTCGGTTTTTTTGGAATATCAGGGAGGAAACCACTGACGGATTGACTAAAAACTTCTTAACAATGACGAGCTAGTCATCTGCAACAAAAAACAAATTTATTTGTTCACCTGGTCAATTTGTCACCCGTCTGTCAATTTGTGAAACTGTTTTCAAATCTTCTGTCAACCTATAAACTTCGCTCAGCTTTCTTCAAAAATTCCGTCTCTAGATTCGTTTGACGTGTTTCTTATTTTGAAGCGAAAATCAGCTTATTCTTTTTAGCAAAAGAGAGTTTTGAAATCTGCTTGTAAAAACTGGATGTTTCAAAGATATTGCTGTTACCATTCCGCCTTTTTTGGAATATCAAGGAGGAAACTACTGACGGATTAACTAAAAACTTCCTGGCAATGACGAGCTAGTTATTTGCAACAAAAAACGAATTTACTTGTTCACCTTGTCAATTTGTCACCCGTCTGTCAATTTGTCAAACTCTTTTCAAATTGGCAAGTAACCTATAAACTTCGCTCAGCTTTCTTCAAAGAGTACGTCCCCAGATTCGTTTGACGTATTTCTTGTTTTGAAACGAAAATCGGTTTGATGTTTCAAGCAGAAGAGGATTTTGAAATCTGTCTGTAAACATCTGGATGTTTCGAAGATATTGCTGTTGCCATTCGGTTTTTTTTGAATATCAGAGAGGAAACTACTGACGGATTAACTAAAAATTTCCTGACAATGACAAGCTAGTTATTTGGAACAAAAAACAAATTTATTTGTTCACCTGGTCAATTTGTCACCCGTCTGTCAATTTGTCAAACTGTTTTCAAATCTTCAGTCAACCTATTAACTTCGCTCAGCTTTCTTCAAAAATTCCGTCTCTAGATTCGTTTGACGTGTTTCTTATTTTGAAGCGAAAATCAGCTTATTCTTTTTAGCAAAAGAGAGTTTTGAAATCTGCTTGTAAAAACTGGATGTTTCAAAGATATTGCTGTTACCATTCCGCCTTTTTTGGAATATCAGGGAGGAAACCACTGACGGATTAACTAAAAATTTCCTGACAATGACAAGCTAGTTATTTGGAACAAAAAACAAATTTATTTGTTCACCTGGTCAATTTGTCACCCGTCTGTCAATTTGTCAAACTGTTTTCAAATGTTCATTCAGCCTATAAACTTCGCTCAGCTTTCTTCAAAAATTACGTCTCCAGATTCGTTTGACGTGTTTCTTGTTTTGAAGCGAAAATCAGCTTGTTCCTTTTAGCAAAAGATGATTTTGAAATCTGTCTGTAAACATCCGGATGTTTCAAAAATATTGCTGTTGCCATTCGGTTTTTTTGGAATAGCAGGGAGGAAACTACTGACGGATTGACTAAAAACTTCCTAACAATGACGAGCTAGTCATCTGCAACAAAAAACAAATTTATTTGTTCACCTGGTCAATTTGTCACCCGTCAGTCAGTTTGTCAAACTCTTTTAAAAATTGGCATCCAACCTATAAACTTCGCTCAGCTTTCTTCAAAAATTACGTCTAGAGATTCGTTTGACGTGTTTCTTGTTTTGAAGCGAAAATCAGCCTTTGTTCCTTTTAGCAAAAGATGATTTTGAGATCTGTCTGTAAACATCCGGATGTTTCGAAAATATTGCTGTTGCCATTCGGTTTTTTTGGAATATCAGGGAGGAAACCACTGACGGATTAACTAAAAACTTCCTGACAATGACAAGCTAGTTATTTGCAACAAAAAACAAATTTATTTGTTCACCTGGTCAATTTGTCACCCGTCTGTCAATTTGTCAAACTGTTTTCAAATTTTCATTCAGCCTATAAACTTCGCTCAGCTTTCTTCAAAAATTACGTCTAGAGATTCGTTTGACGTGTTTCTTGTTTTGAAGCGAAAATCAGTTTGTTCCTTTTAGCAAAAGGGGATTTTGAAATCTGTCTGTAAACATCCGGATGTTTCGAAAATATTGCTGTTGCCATTCGGTTTTTTTGGAATATCAGGGAGGAAACCACTGACGGATTAACTAAAAACTTCCTGACAATGACAAGCTAGTTATTTGCAACAAAAAACAAATTTATTTGTTCACCTGGTCAATTTGTCACCCGTCTGTCAATTTGTCAAACTGTTTTCAAATTTTCATTCAGCCTATAAACTTCGCTCAGCTTTCTTCAAAAATTACGTCTCCAGATTCGTTTGACGTGTTTCTTGTTTTGAAGCGTAAATCAGCTTGTTCTTTTTAGCAAAAGAGAATTTTGAAATCTGCTTGTAAACACTGGATGTTTCAAAGATATTGCTGTTACCATTCCGCTTTTTTGGAATATCAGGGTGGAAACTTTTGACGGATTAACTAAAAACTTCCTGACAATGACAAGCTAGTTATTTGCAACAAAAAACAAATTTATTTGTTCACCTGGTCAATTTGTCACCCGTCTGTCAATTTGTCAAACTGTTTTCAAATTTTCATTCAGCCTATAAACTTCGCTCAGCTTTCTTCAGAAATTCCGTCTCTAGATTCGTTTGACGTGTTTCTTATTTTGAAGCGAAAATCAGCTTATTCTTTTTAGCAAAAGAGAGTTTTGAAATCTGCTTGTAAACACTGGATGTTTCCAAAGATATTGCTGTTACCATTCGGTTTTTTTGGAATATCAAGGAGGAAACTACTGACGGATTAACTTAAAACTTCCTGGCAATGACGAGCTAGTTATTTGCAACAAAAAACGAATTTACTTGTTCACCTTGTCAATTTGTCACCCGTCTGTCAATTTGTCAAACTCTTTTCAAATTGGCAAGTAACCTATAAACTTCGCTCAGCTTTTTTCAAAGAGTACGTCAAGAGATTCGTTTGACGTATTTCTTGTTTTGAAACGAAAATCGGTTTGATGTTTCAAGCAGAAGAGATTTTGAAATCTGTCTGTAAACATCCGGATGTTTCAAAAATATTGCTGTTGCCATT